ACTGCTACTACCACCACAACCAATACTAATGCTTCTACTATTCCTCCTACCACCACCCGCTTCCACTACCGATCACTACAAAGGCATCAGCGGATTTTCAGTGAATAGCTGCATGCCCACATTGGTGTGCAACGCTTCATGCATGCCCGTTTCTGTTTGCATATGTGCTTGTCCCCGTTCGCCTACATGTAGATCTACATAATCTACATCTTATTCATCGGCACTTCTGCAGGCACTTCTGCTTATGAGCTTCATCGTCTTATCTGACTTCCTATCCCTGGCCTATCTCTCCCCTCGCTCTCTCTCGCTCTCTCTCTGTCTCGCTCGCTCTCTCTCTNNCTCTCTCTCTGTGTCTCTATCTCCCCATCCTAAACCCTGGGCCCTAAGCCCACTCTCTACATGGCCAGGCGAAGCACGGCATCCGCCATTGGGGCATCTCGCAGGCCTCGCTAGAGGACGCTTACGAAGCTTGGTTGTCTGTTTTAGTTCGGCTGCCATGAGCAATACGAGGGTTTCGGGTTTCGGGTTATGTATGATGATGGCAAGCATGTCAGCAGTAGTAGGTGCCGGTGCCGCGACCAGAATTCCGCCATGTCTGGCTTGGCACCAGCTGAGGTGCGCATCATCCAGCAAGACTAGGCTGGTTCCCACGGTGCCGAGCAGAAGGTAGCACTCAGACTTCACCGAGTTTCAGCCGGACAGACGAGTGAAGCAAGGACTGTTTTAGTTCACTGCCGTGATGCCAGAACCTCTGCGCGCAGTGATCAAAAAGATGGTCGAAAAGAACCCGCCTGCATGCAACAAAGCCGCTGGTGACAGGTCCGAACCACGAGATCGTGGCGGACACATGCACATGAAAAGCGCAGCAAACGACAGGATCGCTAGATACTGATTACTCGCATGCAGGCCGGTAAATGTGAGTCTGTACGTGCGCAGATGATACGTGCGAAAATGAACAAACAAATAAATGAACTTATAAATACCTACCTACCTACCTACCTACCTACCTACCTACCTACCTACCTACCTACCTACCTACTTACCTACCTACCGACCTACCTACCTACCTACCTACCTACCTACCTACCTACCTACCTACC